GATTTTTGCCGGCACAACCTGCCGCCAAACAGACTCATCCGGGAAATCCGAAATACCACTGAACTTGCCATCCACCAAGTACCTGTACATAGAACGAACAGAAAAGGATCCATCCACATCGGGCAGCCAAGAAGGCCTGGGGGGCCCACTCGACACACAACTGGCACCTCTCGAATTAAGCAAATTAAAAAGCTCCACTCTCTCCCTATCCGCTCCCCCCCTAAGTACAAGAGATAAAGGAACAGACCAAACACAATTTCTTCCCCCCACCACTTCCCTTCCCAAACCTAATCCCAACTCTTCCGATACACTCCAAGTTCAACACCCCCACCTCTTAGAGCACTATTGCGTGGATGCTTAATTTAGAAATAATTATGGCTTGCAATTATATGATGGACACTAAAAACATTAAAAAAATCAACAGTGTCTAACTAATCCTAAAACAAGATCAAAAAATTTGATCGGTGAGTTGTACCATAAGAATTGACATTGATGAAGAAAAATATGATTGCGGAGACATTAGCTATGACAAAATAAAATCTGAGCGGAAATATTGTAATTGAAAAGAAACTTTTATATAATGATGATCTCATTTTATTATTTCAATAGCTAAGCAAAAAAAGAAACAGCAAACAAACAATCAAGAAAGTTAATAGAGGGCTAGGAACTATTCTACACAAACATCTATTTGATTTCAAACAAATCTATCACCCAAACCATCGTTCAAATTACTTTCCTATATTTAATAAATCAATCACAAACAACTTAGATAAATTGGGAAGGAAATAATAGCATACCATTTCAACTCAATGAACCTTCTATGAAGATAGAAAATTCATTGAAGTTGAAACCTAAGAACAGAAAGATGAGCAATGACGCAAGAGGTTCACCGGGCTTCAACCATCGTATTAGGCAATATGATCAAAAGACATAGATCTTCTGCATGAACTGCTCATGAGACAACTTGAAAATAAATTTCATTGTGTTATTAACCAGAAAGATAAAACTATGAGACGAAGACAAGAAAGGAATGAATTACTTATGTGAAGTGATTAACCTTGGATGAAGACCAAAAAGCCATTCAAGTTCAAAGTCTGGTATAGGAAGAGGAGTAAAGGAGGAATATATAACTGATCAAACATTGTCTTCAACAATAGAAGCAGCAAATTGGTTCTTCTAGTAGTTCATCGATATATGAGAGATATAACCATGGAGCGATGCTAGAGCGGAGTAATCGAGCGAGATAGGACAGACCCGAACTACTTGATTGAACTCCATTCTATTCGCCATGGACTTATGTAAGAGTTGAAATCTTCTACTTGCCAGATGATTGATTTTCATAGGGTAGAAATTTTAAAATGACGAAAGTTACATAAAAATCAATGTATCAAGCACGATAAATATACTTAGTGGGCTGGCTAATCATGATGGAAAAGTCCTTTTTTGGATTTAACTTCGTCTATGGTTTGTATTCTAATATATGCTACAACAAATTTATTTAGTGTAATTGGTTATGTTTGTTGTCTTTGTTTGAAGAGACCTTGGTTCAAATCCTTATATTTATATCTTTTTATATGAATTAATAAAAAATTGTAAAGACTAAAATGCCCTTCCTACTTTCACTCTCGTTGTAGGAAATTGGAAATGGAGAAAAGTACACAAAACTCTACCATATATAATTGGAGGATTAGCCAGCTCTTTTATAACGCATCAAAATACTATCCATTTGTTTGTTACCATTAATAATTTTGTAACTTTTTCTCATTGAAAATACTAAAGTATTGGAATATTGGCATCCATGTGTCTCTTCCATGTTGCAAGTCAGTATCATGTTGCTAAGTCAATATTACTAACAAAACTGCTAGCGGGAAGTTAGCATTTGGCTAATATTTTGTATTTTTAAAGGTTTGACTAATAATTAGCATTTACCCATTTTTATAAGGGTGACATATTTTCATTTTTATTATTAGGTGCTACTTAAGAAATTTGAATGTCGAATCTCTAGGTTCAAAACTAGTGGTAGAACCACTACACCAATCACTTCTCGATATTGTACTATCATTCATAAAAAAAATAAAGAATCTTTTCTGCGATAAGTTCTTCTAAAAAGCAAGTTTTAAAAATTAATAGGCGACAACGGTTTAATTGATTTTGCATGTTGACAGAGGGGTGATCGATATGTGTCGTTGTCGTTTGATCACCTTGCATCTATGTTCGCAACTGTTGGATAGGAGCGATAAAGCGTCATTCACAAAAATGTCCCCTTATGACCGAAAATTAACTATGCAAAATATGAATTCAAAGGTATCAATACAATCTAACCGATATCACATAATCATAATAGTCGGGTTCGTCAAGTAGATGAATGTGATTGAATTTATAGATAGGCTATACTCCATTATAAATATTTCTAATAATTATTTGGAATACCTATTTAGGGTATGTCTATGGTAACTTGTAAGTCACAATGATTTGGACAAAATAGTCGACGATAATGGTTGTGGTCCACAGATTACACCAACATGGTCATTCTGAGAAAGAATGTGGTCGACCTTAAACCTGGCTATTTAATCGTGCGTAAGAGACTCATAAGCAGGAGATCGACCACACGGAGGAATGCTCGACCCTCAAACTTAACAAACCATCCTTTTGGTAGATTAAAATTATTGGTTTTACGGTTGATCTTGTACAAGAACAACAACCTTGATTTGTTGCCTATTCCGGTTGATCTCTATAATAGTCCAGTCGGCCTCATAAAACCCAAAATATTAGGCTCTTTTAGAAATTTAACAAACTACTATTGAAATTCTATCGACAATTATAATAGCAAACAACCATACTTCTTAAAAATTTAATCATTAACACCAAAACACAAGAAATACACCTAACAATAAGTTCACGCGTATCTCAAATTCAAAATCACAATGATTTAATCTCAACCCAAAATCATAGTTACTTTAAATCAAATCTTCTTACAAGCTCAATAGATCGCACCAAAATAAATCCTCCTCCTCCAATAATATATGGTAGAGTTTTGTGTACTTTTCTCCATTTCAAATTTCCTGCAACCAGAGTAAAGTGGGAAGAGTAATTTAGTCTTTACAATTTTTAATTAATTCATATAAAAAAAATCAATACCAAGTTCGAACCAGGATATTTAAGACAAAAAACGTAACCAGTTACACTAAACAAATTTGTTATAACTATAACTTTTGAATACAAACTATAGATGAAGTTAAACTCTGAAAACCGGAGGACTTTCCATCATGATTAGCCAGCCCACTAAGTCTGGTTGAAACAGATGCCTCTTGAGATTGAAGATGGAGCGAATAAAAAGTTGGTTATACAACGAAGAGTGGTGGCTATTGGACCTTTAGGTTTATCGTTGTTGCATCTACCACATTCTATGTCTATCTTAAAATGAGGAATCATTGATTGACTTACTGAAATTAAGATCGATTCTCTATTCAATCTACTGGAACTGGTAGATACGGAGTGTCTAATTTTGTGCCTTATTACTTTGATCGAGTCTATTAGTATGTTGGAGCTAACCATAATTCTATCATTTGCGCTCAAGTTTTGACAGTCCCCTTTAAGTTGAGTTGTTACTATTTGGTTGACTTGAATCAATAACTCTTTATTTCTTTTTTATTAGTGACATGTTGTTTCTAAAAGGAGAGCATTGAATTCTTTATGTAGGATTGTAGATTTTATAGTTTTAGTTTCCAATTATCAATAGGTCGTGTGGAAATTTCGGTGAGCTTTTATACTCTATCTTTCCTGACAATCAATTAACCAATAGCATTTTAACGGGGGCCTCATTGTCATTATGAAATGGGATTAAGGATACATTTTTATATTTTATATTTTTAAATGATGATGGTATTTCTTCAAATGTTTGGCCTATACATTCATTTTGTTTATGTATCATCTCGATCGAAGGATTGTCAAAAAATTAAATGGATTGATAAAATTAAACATAACATAAAATATAAATACTCAAATACAAACATTCCGACCAATGGGCCCGGTTATAAGCTAGTAAAATGAATAATGTAATTTATGGAGTTCCTTGATCTCTCTCCGCTCACTCATCTTGATTATCTTGATTGGTGCTTCTAAATTTCTTATGCTCGGATGTGTTGGGATCATGTATATATAGTTCACTGAAAGATCGGAATTCATCCCACATCTAAGTTATAGTCAGCTGAAGTGTGCTCATCTGTATGAATTTTTCCCATATGATCAGTCATGTGATCTCATATAGCGTTGAGGGTGATTGCTGGAGTTGAAACATCTCCATATGTCATTGGCTTGTCTCTGAGCTCTTCATTTGTCTCATCATTGCCTTCATTATCCCAAGTTTCTTCATCTTCCCCATTATGCATGTCATCTTCATCGTCCATGTTTGTTTGTTCATGCTCGACATTCTGAGTACCATCGTCCATATTTGTTTCTTCATTATCTATCTTGTAAAATCGGAATCAAAATCTTATATCAAAATGCAAAAGGTGGTTAAGCAATTACAAACAAAGGAGATAAGATACAAAAAGCTTATGTGAGGTTGACCATTTTTTAGAAGTAGTCAACCACTTGAGTTATCAGGTCTACCGCTTTTTGAACATAACAAAACAAAAAATAATGTTTAGTCTACAACAAACGCTTACCGATTTATCATTTTCTCCGAGTCACAATAAGTTGCAAGTAACTGTAACAAATCCTAACTATTACTGATGAACCGTAGGAAATTCTGATTAGGCTAATAGTTCCTCTTGAGCAGGAAACGCCAACCAAGTTGGCGAGATTTCGTTAGGATTAGCTGTCTTTGCGTTGGTATGGCATCACACGGAGCACGCATGCTGTTCGCGCGAGTTTGACATTCCTTCCCCTTCTTGCCGCCATTTACTTTGTCCGTTGACCAGGCGATTGATTCCGATTGTATCTCCGGCCAAAAGGGATAGACTTGGATCCAAAGGCGACGACTTTACCTTCCCTTCGGTATGACTTGGGACTTCGATCTCAAGATCACTGGTCTACTGCCAAAATGCACATTCCAACATCTCAAACAGATTCAAGCCTTCCTCATCACAACGTCCCTGGCGCAGAACATTCCAATCTTCTCCAAGTTTCTTCGCAGAAGCACCGAATTCGGCACCATGGGTTACTCGGATGTGATATTCTCCCAATTGGGTGATCATTTTTTGAACGAAACAATCCTTTGGAACGTTATGATCAGGGGCTATGCGTTCAATGGACCCGTCGAGAATGCCCTGTTACTGTTCGATGAAATGCTTCAGAGAGGAGTAAAGCCACATAACTATACTTACCCGTATGTCATAAGCTCGTGCTGTGAGTATGGTTGGTATAGGGAAGCGGAGATCGTGCATTGTCAGATTGTGAAGTCTGGTTTTGAATCCAACCCTTCCGTTGCCAATTCCCTTTTTAATATGTACTTGAAAATGCCGGCTTCGAAGCAGGAAACGACTGATTCTAAATTAACTAATGCTCGCAAGGTGTTCGATAATATGCTTGTGAGACCTGTAGAAGCCTGCAACCGACTGATAACCGAGTACGGAAACTCGGGGGACATCAAGTCGGCAAGGCGGATGTTTGAGAACATGAAGGAAAGAGACGTTGTCTCCTGGAATTCCATGATATCGGGCTATGCCAAAGCTGGAGAAGTAGCAAACGCAAGGGAATTATTTGACAGTATGCCTGAAAGGAATGTCATCTCCTGGACTAGCATGATCGGAGTGTATGCTGACGCGGGTGATCTAGAAACAGCAAGGCAAGTGTTCGACGAAATGCCTCACAGGAATGTGGTGTCATGGAATTCAATGATCTCATGTTACATCCACCACAGCAAATTCGAAGAAACATTATCTCTCTTTCTTCAAATGCAGTCCGAAGGGTTGTTGCCCGATGGCTACACTTTTGTCTCTGCCCTGCTAGCATGTTCTAAGCTAGGCGACTTGGAATTTGGGAGGTACGTGCACTGCCTAATAAGGGATTGGTCTCAACTACGAGTCATGGTGGGCACTGCCCTTGTAGAAATGTATGCCCAGTGTGGAGACGTGAACAGAAGCTTCTCCATCTTTACCAAGATCGGGAACAAGGACGTGTTCTGCTGGAATGTAATGATCAGGTCGTTAGCCATTCATGGAAGAGCAGAAGATGCCATCAAGTTGTTCTGGTCGATGCAGAAGGCGGGTACAAAGCCAAACGATTATAGTTTCACAAGCACCTTGTTTGCTTGCAGCCTTGGAGGTTTGCTCGAGGAAGGGCGCAGAATCTTTGCTAGCATGGCCAGAGACTACCAGGTTAGGCCAAAGATTGAACATTACGGTTGTATGGTTGACTTGCTCTGCCGAAACGGTCAAGTTGAGGAGGCACAAGTTTTAGTGAGAAATATGCCTTACGAGCCTGACACTGCTATATTGGGAGCTCTGCTTGCGGGTTGCAAAGTGAGGGGCGATGTCAAGTCTGCAGAGACTGTGGGGAAGAGAGCTATGGAGTCTACAGCAGAAGAGTCAGGAGTTTATGCACTTTTATCAAGTATACATGCCGATGCAGGTCAGTGGCCTGAGGTTCAAGAAGCAAGAGAGAAGATGGACGAAATGAAGATTCATAAGACAACTGGTATAAGTAATTATCATGCAGAGGCTTGTTAGCTTAGAGGGACCTGCAATTTGTTCGAGCTTGCAATAAGAAAAGAGGATCTTAATCAATCTATTTGTGTTTTGTCTCACATGTAGACAAATATCCACTTAGTAAGAAACCATTCACTGGGGATTGGTGGCTCTTATTTCTTGAATGCAGGAGAATAGATAATCAATCACCATGGATGTCCTCCACGTTAACAGCCCTGACGATTAAATAGCGACGACTTTCAGATCGAGTATTAGAGACTCCTGCTGAGAACATTTTGTCATCGATAACAAGATTCACCCATCGCCATTGCCCATACAAAGCCGTCAGGAAACCTGGCACCGGCGCTGTATCAGGAGTGATTTCATCATCGTAGCATACACTGGGGATCCTGCAACTGAACATATTCGGATCATGGCAGACGTACCACTGCTAGCATAGGCTTTGTCGAAAGGTGTTTTGATGGGTTCAGGAACAAGTGAGGGGAGATTCACACAGGATGTTAGCTCGAGAGATGGAAGAAAATGAAGATTCATTAGACAACCAGTACGAGTTCGACTAATTATCATGTAGGATGTTAGCTCAAGAGGGCATTTGTATATGAACATCTCAGCAAAAGGTAACGAAACAATTTCTTCATAGAAGATAAATAACATCCTAATGGAGTCTCCCATTGGATAGTACATCTACAGAAACTTCTAAGAGATATATGTCTGGAGGTTTTGATTCTAAGGTCAGCATAGGCAGCTTAAGAACTACAATACAACTAATTAGTTCTCTAAAACAAGCCTTACTAAACATGTGCGCACTAATTAACCCAATACATTAGTTAAACCTAAATAACCAATAGACAAATTCCAACAGGGCACACAACATGAACAGATCAAAGAGAACAACATTCAATCAAACTTCTGAAGTCTGTCAACAAATAGTATCATCATCCATCAAGGTGTCGGCTCGTCAGATACGATAACTAGTCTTGACGCTCTTTCAGTTTCGGGCAGCTAAGACGTCAATCCTTGAAATGGCAGGCATAATTCAAGTGGTAATCTTGTTGAACTGGAATCTTGAAAGTTGTTGAGGGATGGTTGATATCACAGGACCATATCTCTGCCACCAAAGCGAGATGTTGTTAATATGACATAAGTGGAAACTAGATTTCTTGCTACTTCCATTCTTAAACTATTGTAGACATGGGGAGGATTGCATTACCTGCACATTGTCATATAGTTCGAACAATGGAACAGCGAGAAGCTTCAAATTTTTGGGGACTGCAAAGTACTCTCTTTCAGACAAGTGAACAAGAAAGAGCTTCTTACATTCCTGCAATACCAACCATAAAAATTTGAAACATAAGTACAATGCATTTGATTATTGTGATAGTTATACCCAAAAAAATGAAATGAAAATCTCAGACAAGTAGTCCACAAAACCTTGGGCTTTGTTATGTGAGGAGGGCAGTATGGATACATGATGGTTTCAAAGTTTGGCCTCCATCAGATAGCCACACACTCGCCAATCTGCAAGTTTCCAGGGGAAATGAGCAATCAGAAAAAATAAAATCAAGAGTGCTAAGAGAAAGCATAGGCGAAATGCTGCACCCTACTCTTCTGTTACATTTATCTAGTTTTCTTTGCAAGTTCAATGCTTCGTTGTAGAAAACAATGCATACACATCTTTGTTTGTTCACCACCTGCTTCAAGCGTATTAATCTTGTCTTCGTCCCCAGAAAAAAATAAGTAAAAATCAAGCAGGTATCATAATTTAATTTAACAAGGAAAGTACCTGCCAATCTGGAACAAGAGCAGGTGAATTAGCTCCAAGCTTCCTCGTCAATTTCCTCTTCAAACCTTCAATTTCTGTTACAGAAGTCCAAGAATAGTCAAATGCATGATTCTGTTAGCTTTGCATCAGTATGTATTGTAGCACAATCCGTAACAAATGAATGTATGAACATTCTGACAGAATGAGCAGAAAATATACCATTTCCCCTGGCTTCAAACGTCCACCTGAAAGTCTGCAGAAGGTGTTTCCAATTTGCAGAAGAAGTATGTGGGGATGATTGTGTTCGTGTACCTGCAAGATAATTGAACATTGTTTTACTAGACACGTATGGGCTTTAACATGAGAAGTCAAGCAATGTCTGCAATGCACATCTTCTGAATATCATTCAGCTCAAACATGGCAAGCAAACCAAAAATGAGGGGAATAATTAGTGGCGAACTAAAAGGTAAGACATCCTGAAAGTTGAGATTCTAGGAGAAAGAGCAACAACCAACTAATACAACTAAATCATTTTCTCCAAATTGCTGTATCACGCACATCAAAATCAACATATGCAGAACAGCAATTACCAGTAGTTGAAGACTGATTCATGGTCGTCATGTGCCTTACATTGAAACCAAAACCTAAAATTGGGAAATTTTGACAGGATAAAGAGGGGAAAAGACAAATGAATGTGATGGTATAGGTACAAACAGTGAACTAAGGTTTTCTATGGCTACAAGCTTAGTGAACTCTAATTACAAGACAAAATGGTTCCACAATCAGAACGACAGACTCTAATTACAAGTAGTAATTGCTCCACAATCAGTAAGGTTAACTCTGGTTACAAGAAGTAATAGCTCCACAATCAGTAAGGCCTCAAAGGTTTCGCATATTGCCAAGTGCCAATACCAGAAGAATAGCTTCAACACTTGTCCTCATCCCTTCTTTCATATAGCTGCGCGGAAACAAAAATCGGGTTCAATAATGAATTCTAGCACACTTTACACAAAATTCAAAATAAGAGAAGATTCTGGCAGCCTTCAGGCCAGGTCAAGCTAGATGTCACTCTCCCTTATCCTTCATTTAGAAGGTAAGTTTCAGGGCCAAGAGAAAATGCACCGAGAAAAGACACAACTGACTCGCTAAAACACAACACCTAACAATGGCCAAGTGTAACCAATGAAAGGGACTGCAGTATAGTGTCACAAGTAATAAATATCGAATCCACGGGTCTCTAGAGTTACTATTACTCAGCTTCAGTTCATTATCTAGCAAACTAGATTAAGGATTGATTGATAAACTACTCTACTGACTACTCTACTAATTACAAGTTGGGAACTCACTTAGGTATGATTCCCCCTAGCTCCTCAATTAGGTCCAAGTTGCATTTACCTTTGGTTGATCTACTGTTGATTAGACTGCGGAAGATCCTAAATTAGCTTGGAATCTCTTAAGCTGACCAACCCCTCTCAGACAGAGTACCCGGCAGGCGACTAGCCTTCACCGGGATAGACTGCTAAGGCGATTCACACAGATCTCCACTACTGGAATGAATTCCAGTACAAAGCAGTGAATTGATTGACTCTCGCACAACCAATTCCCTACTATCAATCAAGGAAGCTCTCTTAACCTAATCAGATTCTATCTATCATAGGTTAAAGCAGAAATCAAGAGAATTTGATCAAGATCCAATTGACTCAATAAATCATGCCTCAATCGATTATAATCAAACAATATAGCATCCAAAACTTCATACAAGAAAGATCCTAACTCATGGAACTAGGGTTCCTCAAAACCTAAGTGAAGGGAAGTTACTCCATAGAGAAGAGAAAGACTGCAGAAATCTGATCTAGATCTTCAATCTCCATCTCCAAGCTTGATTCCCGAGCTTCAATGGCGAAGAAATCCTCCAAAATAGCTCCAAGAATGTTTCCAAGTCGCTCTCTCTCTCTAGGGTTCGTCCCTTGAGTGTTTGGGATCCAAAACCCAGCTCTCTCCTTTCCTTTGGCTGAAAATCGGGTTTTAAACAGCAATTCCCGACTCACACGGGCAGGCCGCACGGCCGTGCAGCTCACAGTTGCCCGTGCGAAGGCTCGGTGATTTCCGCACGGCCACGACTCGCACGGCCGTGCAGCTACCTTGCACGGCCGTGCATCACCTTGCACGGCCGTGCGGATTTTCTGCTCTGCCCGTGTGGCTTGCTCAGCCTCTGTTTAATGCTTCGTTTCTCCCTCGTCCGGACTCCGAATCAGTCGCCGTTTGATCCCAGACGCTCGTAGTCTCGTCCTCTTTCGTTTCGTAACAAGCTTGCATGATTCTTTGTCCATAAAGTGAGGTAAAAATCCATTCTTCTTCAGGTCATGCCCGAGTTTCTTCTCTCGAATCGTCAATTGATCTCTGATTGACTTGAAACTTGCGCCTATGCTTCACTTTATGTGCTTGGACCTGAAATGTGAGAAAGGAACACAACCTAGCGTAAAATAGGCCAAAGACACGATAATTCAAGCTCAAACAATCAAGAAACAAAGGGGAAAACATGTGCAAATACCGAGTCATCAACAACCTTTACACTTTCGAGTTTCAACGTTACTTTCTCGCAAATATAATGAAAATATGAACTTCCATCTTAAACCAAAACCCTAGAATTCCCAGATCTTAGATCCCAAATCAATCCTAAAGGCATCACAAATTCATATCAACACCAACTCAACCAAAAGTACAGACACAAGAAACACACACGCTTCAATCACACGAACTTCTTGTTCCTCCTACGATTCCAAACATCTCTCGGCATACAACTGAGAGGTTTATTTGGGGTTTCCAAGTTCGCCCCCCGGAAAGAAAAAAATCGAACTACCAAAATCCAATGAAAAACGGAACCCAAATCGGCATAAGGAAAATATTGAGACGAAGCTCACTTGACTTTCATGCGGGCGAGGCGATCGGCGACGGAGGTGTCCTTCTCCATCTTGGGCTCTTTGGTGCCGAACGTGTAGCTCGACAGAGGGTACGTATTCACCACCGGAGAGCTCACCATCTTCGATTTCGCCGAAAGACTGTTTCCCCGGTTCTGAGGATTAGGGTTTCCCTTTATTTTCCCGCTCAGTAGAATGGAACGGATCCTTCACCCTCAGTCCAGAAAGCTCGCGCGGCAGCGGAAAATTGAAGATTCGGCTCGAGCCAATTCGCGGCTTGGGTGCTCCGACAGTCAACTACTCCTATTTCGGGGGTCGGGACTCGTACAAGAAAGGGTGACCGTCGGATGGGTATTAGGGTGGTGTTACCTATGCTAGATCGACGGATGAGACCAGTTTGGATGTGGTGGGAATGGCCCACGTTCGAACCAATCTCAATCCTTCTTCCTCCGCTATTATTATGGGCCTTAAGCCCAAAACGATGGCTTCTTCCCTATCATACAAAGCCTGGCCCGACCGATTTCTTATGGCTTATCAAGTTTCGAAATGCCTCCAGTCAGGTGCAAGATTACCAAACTTTGTGATTTTGTGGAAGAATGGATTTTATTTAAAAGAAGAAAGAAAAAATTTCACAGAGGGTTTCTTAATGAAGCTACACCAAACCCTAAGAAGAAATTGAACACAGATTTCTTCTTAATCAACAAGGTAAACCTATAAACCTACTTCCCAAGCTCGATTCAAGCTCACACAGTGAATCGAGCTACTGAAGAAGACCTAAAAACCAAAGTCCTAATACAAAAGACTATACCCTGCTTAATCTCTTTGTAACCGCCAAGTTCGATCTTACAGAGATCAATCATGAATCTTCGACGTTATTGTCTGACTATCTTTGTAGAGGGCGACACCTTTGGAGCGGAACGAGGAAAAGGATGGAGCACCTGAGATTTGAGATGATCTGAGAAGATTGAGCTTCGACCAGACTTGGAAGAACGATCCAAGTTTGGAGTATGTCGTATGAATCATGTGTAGACGTTATCGTGTGAGTCTTTAAGCAAACGACGTCGTGGTCATATGTCAACAATTTCCCCCCCTTTGTTCAACAAGTATGCAAAAGAAGAAGAAAAAACAGGACCAGCAGTACTCGAAAACAACAAAAGATTTCATTCATTGAAACATAATATAAAAGAGAGTAGTGGAGGGAAAGTTCCCCCTGAGGCAATGCAGGTTCACATGAAGAGCGGCAATACAAAAGTCCTACTGCTGAAGAGACATAAACACCGAGAAGATGCAAGTTCACATATGGAACTGTAGTACAAAATGACTAAGAATCTAAAACTAGACCCTTGGTAAGGATTAGAAGCAGCAGAATCATTTGAGGAAGAAGTTCCTTCGGAGATTGTGAAAATCAGACCATCATATTTGCTGGTTTCACCAAGAGGCTTGGAATTCTTTGCACGAGGTGCAGCCTTGGAGTGAGAACCAAGAAGAGATGATGGGGAGGAGGAGGAGGAGGAATCTCGACAGGGAGGTCCAGAACCATGAGAACATTGAGAGCACTGACATACATAGTGGAGGAAACACTATGAAAATCAGAAAGATCGACCTCAAGCCTTATCAAGAGTCGTGTGATGATGGAGCCAAAGGGGAGAAGCCCTTGAAAGTGTTCATCACCCACAGGAAGAAAAGCTCCAAAGAGAATCTGGGTAAAGTCCAGCTTTCGGCCAGCAGTGGCAGATGAGATGATCCATAGATCCATAGGAAGAACTCACTCAAGGTTGAAGGAGCGAGGAAGAAGAACTCTGGTAAGGGAAAAATGAAAAACGCAGTCTTGGAGGTAACCAGCTGACAGGGATAGGGACATCAGATTCTCTAGTAGGGTTATTTGAGAAATTGGCATACTTGGTGGTAAGCTTAAACTCCTGCTTCCAGAATTTTGAAGGGCGAATGATGTCGAGTCCCGCAGAAGAGAGACCGAGAATACCACCCAAAGCAGCTGGAATGGTCAGCAGATGACCATGCACTACTGCAGTAAAGCTTCTGGAGCTTATTCCTTCATAGCGAAGATTGGAGTAAAATAGCTTAACAGCTCCAGGACAAGCAGGACGAAAAGGTTGACGAAAAAGAAACTCCCACCCAAGACCTTCGATGAGGGACATGATATCGAATTTGTAGAGGTTAAATTCGTAGGGATCCAGTTGGGTGACATGGTGGAGACTTCTATTTTCAAAATACTGAAGGTGTTGATGGTGGCTGATAACCACTAGATCATGAAACATGTAACCAAGGTAAGTGTGAACAAGGCCATCAAAATGAAAAGGTCTAGGCAGATAATCACTCGCGATGTTGATGAGCACAAGATGGATGGGTAGAGAGTGAGGAAATGGAGAAGATGATGTCTCGTTAAATAATAAATAGAGAATAGAGAGAGAGAGAGAGAGAGAGAGAGAGAAGCTGAAGGGGTGCAGCAGACATAGAAGGAGAGCTTGACCACTAAGAGAAGAGTTTTCTGAGAAAGGTCTTCGAAAACAGCAAGCATGATTAGAAAGGTAAAATTTTCTAGCTCGAGGCAGATGATAAGCCTAGAGCAGGATTGCCCCAACAGATCTTTATTTTGTTAGATTTGAAATTTGGTTGAATGATTTCAAACCGATTTATGTGCATAGCTGTAGAAACCTTTCATTGGAGTTTGGAGAGAGGTTTAGTAAAAAGGTTAGCTAGCTGAAAATTTGTGGGCACAAATTGTAAGCAAACATGACCTGTTTGAACAAGGTCTCTGACACGTCAAAACACTACACCAAAATGCGACCAAGTGTAATCTTGCTCTCGGCAAAAATCACACGGCCACAATTGCAAGTTGCACGGCCGTGTGATGTCCAGGATTGCCCGTGCGGCTTCCTTGACACCTCGCCACGCGTCCGATCTTCGTCCAATCGACCCCAAACTCGCTCCCAAGCCTCCATTCACGTACTAGGACCTGAAATATCACAAACAAGCACAACCTAGCGTAAAATCGGCCTAAAACACGAGAATCAACACCTCAAACGGTGTAAGAACAGGGGTAAAAATATGTGTAATTAATGGTCTATCAGTCTCTAATAAAGTGATATTTTATTTCGATATGTTTTGTCCTAGATTTTTGTACTAGATTTTTCTCCATACATATGGTACTAGTGTTATTACAGCAAACAAGGATGTTTTTAAGAATGAAACTGTAATCCGAAAAGTTGAGCACAACAGCTACCAGCAACCATATACTCGGCTTCAGCTGTAGAGAGTGCAATTGCTCCTTGTTTCTTACTGAACCATGAAACAAGTGCAAGTCCTAAGAATTGTATTGTTCCAAAGGTACATTTCCTATCAATTAGACTTCCTCCAAAATCCGAATCACTATATCCTATTAACTCAAAAGAGTCAGTTAATGGATACCTTAAACCTACATCAATGGTTCTTTTTACATATCTAAATATTCTTTTTACGGCTTTGAAATAACTTTCCTTTGGATTAGATTGAAATCTTGCACGCAGTCCAACACTAAATTGTATATCAGGGCGGCTAGCTACTAGATAAAGTAGAGAATCTATCATCCCTCTATATTTCTTTTCATAGAAAGCAGCCCCACTTTCATCCATATCTAGCTTGAGATTAGTGATCATAGGAGTTGGACTAGGGCTAACTGATTGCATATAAAATTTCTTAAGCATAGAATCAATGTATTTAGTTTGTGAAATGAAAATTCCATAATTAGTTTGTTTAATTTGAAGCCCAAGGAAGTATGAAAGTTCACCCATCGTACTCATTTCAAACTTAGATTTCATGGTTTCACAAAACTTAGTACACATAGAAGGATTAGTTGAACAAAAGAGTATGTCATCTACGTAAACTTGTACTAGCAATATATCAGAATTGCACCTTTTGATAAACAAGGTTTTATCGACACTTCCTTGAGAGAAGTTTTCATTTTTCAAAAAAGGAGGACAGTTTTTCAAACCAAGCTCTAGGAGCTTGCTTTAGTCCATATAAAGCTTTTGACAGATTGTAAACATGATTAGGATATTGATGATCAATGAATCCTTGAGGTTGACTAACATACTCCTCTTCCTTAATATCACCATTATGAAAAGCACTTTTGGTATCCATTTGAAATAGAGGAATTTTCATATGACAGGCATAAGCACACAACAATCTTATGGATTCAATTCTAGCCACAGGGCAAATGTTTCATCAAATTCAATTCCTTCTTCTTAGGAATATCCTTGTGCAACTAGTCTAGCATTATTTTTAGTGACTTGACCCAATTCATCAGTTTTATTCCTAAACACCCATTTTGTACCGATAATAATTTTGTCTATTGGTCTGGGCTCTAATTCCTATACTTGCAATCTAGCAAACTGTACTAGTTCTTCTTGCATAGCACAAAGCCATTCATCATCTGTTCGAGCTTCCTTGTTATTTTTTGGTTCAAGTAATGATACGAAGGCATACTGACCTGGAGAGTACTTACCTCGAGTACGAATTTCATCATTTAATTCACCAATGATTTGATATTAAGGATGACGTTTTTGTATGTGAGCATGTGCATGTCTATTATCAGTCTTGGACACTTCATCAATGTGACAAACTCCTTCATGAGCATGCTGCTTTGCTTGCTTGATAGTGGGAAACAGAAAGTCTACATTTTCTGCACAAATTTCCTCAGAACATGCAGAATCATCAAATTTTACAAAGAACATATTCTTCTACTCTTTTTGTTCCGAGATTACAGATTCTAAAGGCTTATCTTTTAGTAGAATATCCAAGAAAGATTGCCTTATCGGATTTTGCATCAAACTTGTTAAGATGATCTTTAGTATTGAGGGCAAAACACTTACATCCGAATGGATGGAAATATCCTAGATTAGGAGTTTTTTCTTTTAAAATTTCATATGGTGTTTTGTTTATAGTTTTTCTAACCAGTGCCCTATTTGTTACGTAAATAGCTGTCATTACAGCTTCCCCCCAAAGAAATTTCGGAGAATTATATTCTAAAAGCATGGTTCTAGCAGTTTCAATAATAGTTCTGTTTTCTCTTTCTACAACACCATTTTGTTGAGGAGTTCTAGGTGCTGAAAACGTATTATTAATT